TAAAATAACGTCTATTTACTGTGTTTTTATGCCCGTATGATAAACTTAGCCTACAAAGGAATGTATTAATCTTTAATTATTATTGCTGAACTAATGAATAAGATAATTGCATTCATAATAAAATGATACTATTCTATAAATTTAATAACAATTGCTATTTATATAAATTTATATACAAAGTTCAATTTTAATAAATGCGTATCTTATACTTTATGCATATATTTTGATTCTTTTATGAACCATCAAACTAATCAGAGTTGTCCTTTGATCTTCATATATCTTAATTATTAAATTCCGCTCTCGCATATTGGGATGGTCGAAATTTCTTAGTAGTGAATGTCTTAATTGACTTATTGATTAGAAATTAATGAAATTTCATTGCTAATTTATACTTTTGCATTTCAAAGAGAGAAATATAATACCTTAAAAATGACAAATACATGCGAAGATCTTTCCATTATACAGTATTTACATTCATTTAAAAAATTGTAAATACGCAATAATGACTAAATTCATATTTATCAATTATTATATTTANGCTTAACATGCCGATCTTGCCCCGATCTCCCCTAATTAAGCCTGTATAAGCCTGCCTTCTTGGTCATCCAGTCTTCGATAAAATATTTTATATCTATTAAATAGATGTTATTATTATCGGTATACGAGATATACTGTATTGCATAATTATTATTAATATCTATATTTACACATAGACTAATAGATAGATTTTTAATTTATTTATTGAGGCTTTATAAATTTTATTTAAACAGTATAGGCCTATTTTAAATAGTTTTTTTTGTCGTTTAGATAATATAAAACGCTTTATATATTAAATAAAAAAAATTCATAATTTAATAGGTAAAAATATTGAAAATATTTATGTTTACTACTTTTAGTACAATCGAATTTACTATTTTAATTAATTAATTAATATATATTTATTCGATTCGTAGCTTGTTAAGAGCTCTTAATATATCAGAAATTCATCCAAATATATCACAATTTTAATAGGGATATTAAACGAATATCTATAAGTTGATGTGATAGACCTATAGGCCTACATTCTATTGAATTATTTTTCAAATGTTAGTTTTTATATGTTAAGAAAAATAGAAAAATGTTAATAGTATAGAGAGATTTTTTTTTCTTTTTTTAAGAGAACAATAAATTCTGTACAAGAATGCTTTTTGTGTCGGTGCTTCTAAACCCGAACGCCCTTCGTTTCAGTTTTAACCGTGAACTAAATAGAGAAGGACAACGTCAATGCGCCAAAAAATGTTTCGTGTTTAAACGTTTTATTCCAGACTACTTTTAAAATTTTGAGACATAATATTAATTAGTTGATTCTGAGAGTAAATAATGATGTAAATTATTATGTATTTCCAGAATAAACTTTTAAAAATCTGTCTGTATTAATTGAGTTACATACTTAATTATTTACATACTTAATGGAGTTACATAATATAAATTTAGTCTAATTATTAAATATTATCCAAAACAGATGCAAAACTCTTCTAATTCAGTACGTTAAAATTGAATGTAACGTATGAATTAATGATTATATAGTAAAGTAAATTATAGTTTAGATAAGTTATGATATATACAGAATGTAAATAATTTATAAAAGCGATTTAAAAAATTATTGTTGTAAATTACATTACGTTAATGCTTATCTTAATGCAATTTTATCTAAAAATCTGTGTAAATTATTCAAAATATAATAAAATAATTTTAAAAATTATATATTTTATCATGTTCATTTACGGCGTAACCAACCGAAAAATTGGTGTTACCGGCATTACCGGTGTTATTGTTGAATAAACATAATACAGGTGATGAGAGTCACGTGAGTAAGTATACATAGCTCGACGAAACTAGACTCAAGCACAGTAGCAGATGTACAAACACGACGATATACAGAACGACTGAAGCACGTGTTCATGATGTTGAGTTATTTGATTGTTTGTTTCTTAAATATGCAGGTATTAGTCGAACCTCGTCAGGGTAAAAGACAGGTGCTGTTGTTATCATTTGATGGATTTCGTTGGGACTATGCTGGAAAATATCACACACCCAATTTAGACTGGATTGCAAGGACGGGAGTACAAGCTAGAAGGGGTATCCGTACAGCTTTCGTAACAAAAACTTTCCCCGACCATTACACTATTGCTACAGGTAAGTTAAATTCGTGCAATTTTAACATGAAAATATATATATACATTCGAGTCAGCGTTGTGAACTTTACGTAAGCTTATCTAATTAAATGATAAATACTTGTACAGGATGCTATTACTTTTAATATATAAAAGGAAGTAATTATATCTATTAAATCTGATTCGTGTTTTAATTATTTGAATTTTAATCTTTAAGTTATCATTTATTTATTTATTTTAAGTAAAAGTTGATTATAAAAATAAAACTAATTATTAAAAATAATTAAAATATATCAATTTATTAATTTTCAAATATAAATCAGTGTAAAAATAAAGTAAATAAAGATTTTATATAGTCTATATATATAGTGTATATAAATTTTAAATTTTAAACATTTAATAAAAAAAGTACAATCTAATGATTTCTTATATCAGCATTAGATTTACAGCTTATATAACTGTTATATACATAAAGTTCATTCGAATTTGATCCGTGATAACCTCTTTAAAATAGTTTACTTTATGTCAATTTTCTAATCTTAAACTTTATACTTTTAAAAATTATGAATTGTCTATATTTTAATATAAAAGTAATTATTAAATTGAACTAAACAAATAATTTACACGTATTTAATAATGATAATAAAAAAAACTACTACGACCAATTCATGTCACTAGACAAGTAAATTTATTCTTGGTTGATTATCTATTACTCCGATGCACTGATGCAATGATGAACTCTCTAAAACAAAATAAACTTTTAATCTTTGTGTAAGAATTTTTTTTTACATTTGCGTATTTATGTTTTTAGTTGCAAAAAGTAAAACACGCATCACTGAAAATCTTATAAATTCAGGATCTAGAGACCTTGATTATATTGTTTGAAATATTCAATATAATTTAAAAAAAAAAAAAAATTATTATGTTTAAACTAAAAAGATTTCTTCGTAAAATTTTAAAAGATTGTACATCTTTTGTTAACACAACTTTTTATAAATTAAATTTTTAAGGTTAGAAGGGCGTTTCTATCTAACAGGTTTAATTTTAATTGTAGCGTTAACGTTTCGATGAGTTTTCCTATTTCAAGTATTTACAGCAAATTACTAATATTAAAATATATATATATATATATAGTAATACATAATTGAATATTTTCTATATTATTTCTAAAATCTAAAATAATTTATATTGCTTTTTATAAGGAAGAGTAAAGTAAAACCAATCTTGCGTACAGATGTTGCAAGGTCAGTCAGTATTATTCATAAGGAAACTTTTGTATAAATGACGATGTTATCTTAAGAGATAAAATTACAAAAGTATGATATTTTAATTGATAAAGAAGTAAAATCTGAATATAATCATTCATTTGCAAAAAGTACATAAATTAATGCAATTTAAACGAATATGTTATTAAAGCTAACATGTCATTTTTCTAAACACAAAACAGTCGCGAAATAAATGGTAATTCTATTTAACATACTTATATTTTTTCTTTTAAAATAAAAATTTAAAAATATTAATTGTAAGGATAATTTATAAAATGAAGTACTGTATTCAATTTATATGATAGAAGTTACTTTAATATAGATAGAAGACAATAGATGTAAAAGTAATTGAGCAGATCATAATAAAAGCTTAGAAATTTTAACAATATAAAAAAGTAAATCATTATTTTGTTATTTATACTTATTATTTTAAATTATTAAATATTAATTTTTATTTAATTAAATTTGATTTCAAAATAATTATATTTTTTAAACCATATTGTTTTTTTATGAAAACATATTAAAACATTCGTGTCAATACGTAATAAATATTTACAAATTAATATTTAATTCTTACGATATGAATTTAAATTAATTTAGTAATATAATAGCAACTATACTTAATCAAATTAATATAATTAGAATAGTTTCTCATATGTAATGAATAGCAAACTCTATTCTAATTATAAAGTACTTTACTAAATGATAATTATATAAAGAAATTCATAGCAATTAATTAAAACTGTTTTATTCATAATTTACTATTTTAAAAATGAAAATTAAGTAATATATATTAAATTTTAATTTTTAAACAAATAAAGTATAGTGTAATTTATATTTTTACATTCGACTTTTATATTTCTTTTAAGTACTTTAATTTATTATAATTTAAGAGCAGTTATAAAAAGTAATTTAATCTCTAGATTTTCAGGAAAAAATGATATAAGTAAAACAAGAAATAAAAATCCAGAAACCAGTTGAGTAACTCTCCCCGAAGAGTTACGAATTGAATGAGATGCCATCTGTTATGAGATTTTATTTAAAAAGTTTTTTTATATTATTAATTATTATAAAATGACAAAAAGCTTAATTTTCAGGGTAGCGATGAGTTTCATTAAAAAAATTGTAAATGATAATGAATAATATCTTCATTAAGTCCGTCTTCCACTCGAAATATGATATAACCGCCTCTATTTCCCTTTACCTTTAACGATCAAAATTTAATAGCATAAATTCCCTAATATACAGACCTTTATACAAAATTTCAGAAAATTTTAACAAAAAGAACAGGAGTTATTAAGCATCAAAGTGGATGAACAAAATCGTGCCCCAACACACACTAACATTCATACAAACAAGAAATAAAACCTAATTTTTGCATTTCTTGACGTTTTAAGTCCAAAAATGGGGGAGTCATTTTTTGATCTATCGCCATACTTTCCCTCTGTTATAAATAACAGCCGGGAAAGTAAAAATTCTAAGCTAAAACTAAAACAATTTCTAAAAATACAGTGGTACCTCAGGTTACGAACGCCCCAGCATACGAAATTTTCAGGATACGACACGACGATATACCGAACGACTGAAGCACGTGTTCATGATGTTGAGTTATTTGATTGTTTGTTTCTTAAATATGCAGGTATTAGTCGAACCTCGTCAGGGTAAAAGACAGGTGCTGTTGTTATCATTTGATGGATTTCGTTGGGACTATGCTGGAAAATATCACACACCCAATTTAGACTGGATTGCAAGGACGGGAGTACAAGCTAGAAGGGGTATCCGTACAGCTTTCGTAACAAAAACTTTCCCCGACCATTACACTATTGCTACAGGTAAGTTAAATTCGTGCAATTTTAACATGAAAATATATATATACATTCGAGTCAGCGTTGTGANTTTTTTTAATGTATTACTTGGCTTTAATTTGAGTATGTTTTTCGCGTTGGAACGAATTATTTGGTTTTACATGTAATCGTATGGGAAAAGATGATCCACCTTACGACATTTTCATGATACGATCTCAGTTTCGGAACGGATTAATTTCGTATCCTGAGGTACCACTGTATAATTTCTCAAGGAGAATGCTTTGTTTAATTATTTTAATAAGTGTAATAATTCTCAGCACTGAGACATACCTCCATACTTTTATTATGTTAAATGAATTTACGCACTTAAATACCAAAAAAGTGCTAAATTTGGCAATTTTATTCTGTTCTGTATAATACCCTACTGATCAAAGTTAATTAAAATTTAATTTGCTGCATTATTATCGCTGTAGAGAAAGGAAAATCTTATGTATTTTACGAGTACAGAAAAATATGTATCGCTAAACACAGATTTATTTCAGTAGAAGATATGATTCAATCGGGAGTTTTATGTTAAGATAACACAATATAAAACGAAAAATATTAAAAGCATAACTAAACTTGAAATAGATTTAATAAAATCTAACAATTAAAAATAAATAAATATAATATAATAATAGTTTACTTCAAATTTTTTTCGTTAATTTAAAAATATATAAAATTTAAAAATCAATTAATTACTTGTTAATTTAATTAAAGAAAAATAAAAGTAAAATAATTTTTTAATCGAATTGTTTATTTGATTTGTTTCAAATAAGCTATGAATGATTATCAAGAACAAAATAAAAAATTTATAAGTTCAAAAACTTATAAATAAAAATGGTAGTTTAGTGTATTTTCTAAAATCTGTATTAAGAATATTTATAACTTTTTTACTTAGTTATTAAAATAAAAATGTAAATTTATGCATTAAAAACGAAATTTTGAATTATTTGTTTAACTTACTATTCTGACATTATTTACATGTTCAAACTGTAGTTTTATTTACAGAGCTATTCTAAACGTGTAAACTTTTCATAAAGTAATAAAAATTGTTTACAAGTTCTACATTTTCTTGTACATAAATCAGAATTATAAGTAAAAAAAAAAATATATAGGTTAAAATATCTTACCAAATCTGTTATATTTTTGTTTTAGTTTCTGTTAACTTTAAAAAATATGCTTGTTTATTATTAACATATTTTAGAATCATTGGTTATTCAGTGGCTAGTTTCGAGTTATTAACATTCGCGTCGTGGAGTTTTATATTGGTACCTTGGAAAAAAGGGTTATATTCATTGTTAACAGGCAGAATTGATGCTATTATCGAGTGTTGCCAACAACGAGCGAAAACTTATTCAATCCCAGTGTTAAGTTATAGCGGTAAAAATTAGATTTGTATTTCCCCCCTTTCCGAATGTTGAGTTATTGAAAGTCCAGTTTCTGGGACTCTACTATAAAATGAAGAGTAAATCAATCAACTGTTAAAAACAAGATTTGATAAAATAGGTATTTATAAAATATAATTACCAGATAAATCAATTAAAAACAAATATTAAATACAGTATAATTTATTAAATATATATATATATTATTCGTCTCGATATAGACAAAGCGTTCTTTTCTATCCAGGCTCCCATTATGTCTGCGCGCTCTTGGATATTAAGAACGTAACACGTAAAAATGTTGTAAACTAATTAATTCCTTTATTTATTAAGAAATTAGTTAATATGTAGACTTCTTTTTCCCACTATACGCCTACTTATAAATATTATATAGGCCTATATATTTATAAATGTAAGGTTTTAACAATTTCATTTGTTCTATGTAATATTGCAAGCTTTATTTCAGTCATCTACGTTATATTCTACAGTATATAACTTAACATTATATATATTATACAACATTATAAAGCATTATATAAAATATAATCTTTTAACATAGAGATTAACAAGATGAGTTCAAAATGGTGATAATAAATGAGAAAATTCTAGACCACTTATATGCAAGAAAATATTTAGACACTATAATCAAAATCTTACATTAATACAAGTTGTTTGCCACTAGATATTCGGAAATACAGTATGTGATCATCTTCGATGTATTGGTGACATTGTATTCTCCTGTGTATCGTTTTAGTCTTCGTATTTATTGATGTTCGTCTTGTACACATAAACTATTAGAGTTTATGTGTACATGGGAGCTCTGGGAGTTTCCATATCATGTTTTTCCATTTCTGTTCGTTTCTTGCTTATCGAAAGTGTGAATACTTCATGTTATCAACATCCAATAAGAAAAAAAACTTTGATATTTGTCCATATATTGGCCTATTGAGGGCCGTCGAGAGCTTGTATAGTACCCGGATAGAGCAGGCCCTTTTGCCATGTTTTTTTTTGAATTGCTAAGAAATAAGAATGCTATGTAAGCTGCTAATGAAAACTTTCGTAAACACACTTCAGTTCCTCTTAATAAACTTACACAACTTTTTTGCTCAGCTACCAGAATATGTCATCGGATTTGATGTTTACGCTAAATAATTACGGTTATTAGACTTCCTGTTTATTGAATATTGAAAGAAAGCCTGGAAATTTTCTCCTAAAGATGTTAAACAAGATTAATATTAATATAATGCAATGAGACGTCTATTTATAAAACTAAATTTATATATACGCACTAATTGAGGCATGAAATTCGGAAATTGAGAAAAATAGAGTTGGTAAAAAAGAAACTGCATTATTTTAAAGATAATTAATTATACAGATAATTTTAACCAATAAAACCTGCATTAAAATGAATCATAAGATTCATTTTGCATTGAAATGAATCATAAGATTCATTTCAATGCAAGTTTTGTTCAAATTTTAATATTCAAAATAATTACTGTATCATTTATTATATTTCCATAAATGTCATTAAATGAACAAGAGATTGAATATATTGAATATATATTGAATATATTTTCTTTAAGAAATATTAAAATATGCCACCGAATGTATTGAATTGTTGCTAATACAAATTCCTCTTTTCTGTGGTGAAAATGGATATCTCGTAGAATTGTAAATTTGTTACAATAAAAAAATATATTTTTACTTCAGTTTGTTATTATATTTTGTTATATTAATCGAAATAAATGGAAGAACTCTGTTTAAAAGCAGAAGATTAAGTATTAAGATTTAAAATGTATCGCATTTAAGCTGTCATTTTAATGCGAATCATGTAGGCTTTTTGTATTTTTAATAAGAAAGCCATTTTCATCTGGCAAAACAGGATACAGTTTAATCGGGTAAGAAAAAAAATGGCACCCAATCTTGACGGTATAATGAATGCGCTTAAATAGGCAAAACGCACACGAAAAAGCTAATTTTAATAGGTGATGACACGATAAAAAGAAGGAAAAATTATCGAAAAAAATTTTTTGAAAAAACAGCAAACAGATAGGATGATGATAATTTTTAAAAACACTCGAGAAAAATAATAATAATGTAGCTTGCATTTTTTATAATGTGTTATTCTTAAATTCGAAATACAAGATAAAAATTTAATGGACATTCAGAAGAATATTAAACGAAACGAAGACTAACTTAGTTATATGACAAATAAGGAAAAATAGATAGCCTATAATTCGTTGGTAAAATAATATTTTACCAACGAATTATAATAATATTATAAAATAATATTTTAAACAAACGTTGAGAACAATTTATATAATTTATAATGCTATACATATTAAAATAACGAGAATCAAATCTACACAAATATAATATCTAGTTATTTTATGATTACTTTATTCTTGAATTTTTTAAATATTCTGCATTTAAATTATTTAGTCTTTAATGCTATATTTTTCAGTATAAAGATTTAACAACATTTTTTTAAATTCATAATGGTCTTAAGTTGTATTTTGAATATTATTTAGTAAGTTTAAAGCACAGTGAAAATTGATATTAATTCATTCATTCCTATTTTATATTTATAAAAATCGACTGTATATTATTGTCGTATTGTCACAATGTCGGGCTGCAATTTTTAATCATATTTTAATTTAAAAAATTACCTGGCTTCCGGTCCAGACCCGAAGTTCTTATATAGTTAATCAGGGCCTAAGCTTTCCATATCTGGTCTCGATTTTCATCTACCTAACTCCATTCTGTAGATTAACGAAGGATAGACGGACAAACAACAGTGGGAATATATAAGTCTGCAATTAGGTCTTAATTGTTTATAAAAGTTTTTAAAACTTTTTAAACTTCGGTAATGTACTGTACACTTTTGTTACTTTATGAATTGATCAATTACTAAAACATATAATTACTTTAATTGTAATTAATGATAAACAAATACACATTAGTAATTCTATATCCCCTTATTCGTTCATTATTACTATATTAGAGTGATATATAATGTAGAAATTAATATCACATAGATGATAGCTATTATAGATGTTAAATATTATTATTATCATCATTCTTAAGCACATTTGAATTTTCATACAGGCGTTCTTTAACAAAACAAAAACATCATATCATTTCATCATCATAATTCATACAAAAATTTAGAAGAAAAACTCACATATTTAAATTGCATGTATGTTTACACAAGTAAGTTCTACATGTCTTTTATTCTTAGTAACCGAAAAGAAATACAATGAAACTCGTTACATCAAATTTTATAGAGTAAGAAAGTCCCTACGAGCTAAAGAGTTTTAAGTTAACGAGTTTAATAACCGATTTTCTTAAATTTTTCTATAGTCATAAGTTTCTCGTTCTCAAGCCGTTTCTCAACAAGTAGTTTATAAATTGTATACACATTTTTTAGCGCTTTTGAGTGTGTTATCGAGGCGTTCCCTTGTGCTCCAGTTAGAACACGGCGCCGGTAACTTACTAGATCAGCAAAAGGATGTCGAAGGTTATAATGTGGTGTTATGTTCGAGATGAAGCCATAGTTTAGTCATCTGTATTCACACGTAATATAAGAGAAAGTGAAGATTT